CAGCTGAGAGCCGAGCGGTAGCGGGTCTGGCGGTGAGGAGCTGCTGGGTGTAGGGGGATGCGGGAGGCGTGAAAGCCCCGCCAGGCCGATTGGTCCCGCGGGCAGGAACCTAGGGAGGGGCATTTGGGAGGGCTCAGAACTAGATGGCTGGGGGGAGTGGGTCCCCGCGTTCCGTCCCTGTCAGGACTCTCAGCAGGGGGCTGGGAGGTGGCGGGGAATGGAGGGCCGCTCCCGGTTGGGAGACCTCGAAAAAACCCTTCATTCTAGGGACTTGTCTACCCCATCCCCTCTTGGGGAGCTCTCCGGCGGGAGAGGATGGGAAGCGTCTGTGTCCCCTTCTCGGGGAGGAGAGTTCCCGACTAACCTGGTTTCCCCCTCTGACTCTTCCCTTCCCCTTGCCCCTGTCCTGGGAGTCGGGGTTCTGAGAGGTCCCCTCCAAGCGGCGGGCTGGGAAGGAGGGAAAGGAGACTGGAGGACGTGACACCAGTCTCAGTTCCCCCGCCCCCTGCTTCCCCGCCACTGCCGCTCTCCAAATTGGCGCGGAACCCGCCTCTGCGCAGCCTTCGCCTCGGCAACCCTCTCTCCCCGCGGCGGGTCCCGGCGGGAAGGGGTCAAGGGGCGCTGCCCGAACCCCACTCAGTGTAAGGGGGAGAGGGTGGAGGACCCAGAGACGCTCGTTTGGGGGCGATCTGCCTCCCTGCGCGTTCAGGTGACTGGGGTGCTTTGTAAATGTTCAGACGCGTCCTGGCGATATATTCGGTCGAGGAAATGCAGGCATGTGTCCAAAATTAATCACCATGAGATAATATATAGTACGGAAGACAGCTCGGTAAAATGGCTCCGGCCACCACCTGAGGGACTGAGCTGTGACCTCCCAGTCAGCGTCTAATCTGCACTTGGAGAATATGAATGGCGATGTACTTGACTCGTTTTTCCTCTCCTTCCCAGAGGTCTCATACACCTGAGAGAAGAGAATGTCAAGACGCAGGTAACATTGTCTTGAAGATACTGAAAAATTAGCTGCTGCATTTGAAACGCGCGACTAATTAAATTTACTTTTTAAAAATTCACAGTAGCCGTTTACAAGCTAAGCAGCAGCCCCAGCCCAGCCAAACGGATTCCCCCCAAGAAACTCAGATAATCCAGGCCAAGAAGAGAAAAATACCCCAGGTGATTTAAGGAGAAATAAAGATGGAGGGAATACATTCCTTACAGAGACCTTAGCTAACCAATGGTCTTTTCTGTTTTCCAGGATATCAGGAAAAGAAAAGAGGAAAAAGTCACCAAGAAACATCAATATGAGATTAGGGTAATGGACGACGGGACTGGGGGGAACAAAAAGCATGAAAGGACAAATAAGAATAGAACTGTGTTATTGCTTTGCAATAGAAAAATTCCCGTGACACTTTTAATGTCATTGGAGGTCGGCAGAAGGGGGCTTATCTTTGGGTCGTTTATATGTGCTTGAATCCTACTACAGCTGCAGAGTAAGTTTGCCTTGAAGCAGCTGGTTCCTTTTGTAAATCCCTCCCTCTTGGAGCTGCCTGGTGCACCAGGGCCCGCCTAATCTGTCTGATATACTGCTCTTTGTTCCCTCTCAGGCTGCAGCCAGGGTGGTAATATAGCTGCTTGTTGGACATAAATAGGATGTGAAATCACTTGATAACCTGGCACCCAGCCCTTTGCTACCTATTTCTCCTATTTAATATACAGAAAACATTTTAGAGACAGTGATTCCCTTTGTAATCAGCATTATTGGTGAAAGGGTTCTCTAAATAACTTACTCCAATTTTTAAACTTTACTTCATTCTTTCATGTGAGAGAGAGAAGCACCTCAGTAGGGTCTCACACTGCG